TATGTGGTGTGTGTGTGTGCTGTGTGTGTGGGTGTGTCTGTATGTGTGTCTATCTATTGTGGACATGCCTAGTCTATTTGCATGTCATTTCTAGACCTTGAAATCTCTAACAGCTCAATAGGACATGTGATAGCTGCTGGGAATGCTTCTCCCTTTTTTTCTGATTTTTCAGAATTCTCTTGTTCTGCCAAACTCTGTTGACATCCCTGATAGAATATTTTGATTATTGTAATTGCACTGAATTTATATAGCTAAATTAGGGAGGAACTGAAAGTTTGCACTGTCCAATTGAACATCTGCTTTCACAGATATTTTCCTGATTTCTACTTACTTCCTGTGTTCATCCTGGGAGTTCCTTAGTCAGGGGATCTAAGGCTTTTTAAGGCACGAGCATGCTGCTGAATGTCCTGCTGGCCTCTCACCTGAGATCTGCAAGTTTGCCTCTTCCTCTTTCCATCCTGGCTGGAACATCCTAAGATGTTTTTCTAGTTTCAAAAGTTGAGAGATTTTCAACTTAAGGAAACACAGGTTCTTAGAGAGGTGTGTCCCTCTGTACGCTCTTGGTGGTCCCACATGGATGTGAGCAGATGGAGCAGTGATGCTCTGGGGTGCAGGCGCAGCTGCACCTGGTGGCTGTGAGGGGCTGTGGTGCAGTAGCCCAGCACAACCGGAACTTGTCTGCTCTCAAGGTGAGGGGTGGTCTGGAGCTTTCCCGTGTCCTGTAGCTGTCTGCCTGAGGGACAGCCCTGCCCCATGTCCAGACTGTCCTGTGGAGGAGGCCTGCAGAGCCATGGAACTGTCTGGACAGGGTATGGGAGTCAGAGCTGGAGTATACACTGGCCCAGAGCCCACCGTGGTCCCCTCCATCTGTGGACAGGTCCCCTCCTGCTCTTGATCCTGATGTCCCCAGGGTGGCCAGAAGTGCCCAGGCCTTGTCCAGGCTTCATACGTATGAGGTTGTCACTGCAAGAAGAGGTCCTTGGGGCAGATTCCCTTGGGGTAGCAGTTACAGGTAGGGAAGATGAGGCAGCAGGTTATCTTTTCAGAAGGGTTTCCTGGAATTTCAGTGTGGAAGGGCTTCACAGAGCCTTTGCTCTGCTCTGGTGATGGTGGGCTTACCACTTAGAGGCAACCATGATCATCTTAGGCAGCGAAGTGGGTAGTCCTGAGTATTCCTCTTCATGCCAGGCTGAATGCATTTGGTTTCTTGGAGCTGTGGCCATTCCTGTAACTGTCAACTCCATGCCCTGAACCTTTCTCCCTCTCCCTGTTGCCAGGACCCCCGTCCTCAGACCTTGTGTCTTCTTTGGGTGAAATAACTCCAGCCCTGGCCAATTGGCCTTGGAAAGGACTTTCTAAGGGGTTGCTTCATCATTGTTGTATGAGGAACTCCAGACCCAAGAGGCAAAATCACTGTAGGGCCGTAGATCTCAGGCCTGTCGTTCCATAGATCTGTAAAACGCGGCCCAGGAAGTGAAGGCATGCAGCAGGATGAAGGCAGGTCCAGGGCCCCTGGCTCCTGGCCTGTAGAATTTGTGGTGATTTGAAGGCTGTGTCTCCTTTGTGTGAGCCAAGACTATACTGCTCCTCTTTTTTCATGAATTGTGCTAAAAATGTAGACTTTTGTCCCATTGTGGGGGCCACTTGATTTCTGAGTAAAGTTCTCTTTCCTGCTAATTTAGATGCCAGGCTGCTGCTAACGTGGCTGTCCACTAGCGCCCAGGAGGGCAGGTGGGCTTGGACATTCCTCAGCAGGGCTCCTCTTTAAATGTCCTTGACATTTTGATCTGAGCCAACCGTCACCGATGGGGCCTGGTATGGACCCCCCAGCTCTGTGTCTGCAGGAGAAGCCCTTTTTGAGGAGCTTGTGGTGGGCTTGACGGTCACCTTTGCCTTCACACCGGGGCTGTTTCTGGAGTGTTGTGTGGGGTCTGGCTTTCCCAGGCTGCTTGTCCCATAGGCTTTCTGCTTTCTAGACTCTCTGCCCTCTCACCTGCAGCTGCCCCACCTCCCTCCTCGTCCTGTGGATCAGTGTCTGGTGCGTATGCCATTTGGTGGGGTTTGGCGGGAGGGGACCTGTGAGCCCAGCCAGCAGGCAGAGCACTTGTCCTGCCTCTCTGGAGATTGCTTCTCACTCACGTTTCCCTTTTTTCCAAGGTGTCTCCACCCTCGTTGCTAGGGAGTGACTGAGGAAGGCCGCGGAGATGGCCGGGGCTTCCGTAAAGGTGGCGGTGCGTGTCCGCCCCTTTAATTCCCGGGAAATGAGTCGAGACTCCAAGTGCATCATTCAGATGTCTGGAAGCACCACCAGTAAGTACTGGCCTGGGGTTGCCAGCGGCTGCTGGGTGCTTGGGGCTTGGGTCTGTGCCTCCCTGCTGATCAGCAGCCAACCTGGCAGCTCCCCTCCTGTCTGGGTGTGCTGGTGCCCTGTCGCTGCTGTCACAAATGGCTGCAAACTGAGGGTTTTACAAGAACAGAAATTTAGTCTCACAGTTCTGGAGGTCAGAAGGATAGAACCACCCTGTGAGTGTCTTTGGCACACGGGATTCAGCTGTTGGAGGTGGTTGGAGAGGGGACTGGCCCTTTTGTTCTTCCTTTAATTATTTTTTGAGACAGAGTCTCACTTTGTCAGCCTGGGTAGAGTGCCGTGATGTCATAGCTCATAGCTCATGTGATGTTCTTCCTCAGCCTCCCTGATAGCTGGGACGACATGTGCCCACCACAATGCCTCGCTACTTTTTTTTTTTTTTTTTGTAGAGATAGATTTTTCACTTTATTGCCCACAGTAGAGTGCCGTGGTATCACACAGCTCACAGCAACCTCCAACTTCTGGGCTTAGGCAATTCCCTTGCCTCAGCCTTCCAAGTAGCTGGGACTATAGGCGCCCGCCACAACGTCTGTCTATTTTTTTGTTGAAGTTTGGCCGGGGCCGGCTTTGAACCTGCCACCCTTGGTATATGGGGCTGGCGCCCTGCCCACTGAGCCACAGGCGCCGCCCAGCCTGGCTATTTGTTTTAGAGACAAGGTCTTGCTATAGCTTAGGCTGGTCTTGAGCTCCTGAGCTCAGGCAATCCACCCACTTTGGCCTCCCAAAGTGACTTCCTTTAATTATAAACTTTTTTATTGACATGTGACAGCTATTCAGAAAGATGGACAGATCCTAGCGGTCAGCTCTGTGAATTCTCACAGTGTGAACATCTAGGGTCAGCATCACCCAGACCAAGAGGTGGAACTTAGCCACACCTCCCTCAAAGGAGAGCCTGTCATCCATGGCTCTAATGCTGTTAGGTGGGCTCAACCAGAGGCCTGTGCAAATTAAACCAGTATTTGAGTCATCTCTGCTGAGTGACAGTCTGCCTAAAAGCTGGCGTCTTGGAGCAGGAACAGTCACTCTCCCTGTCAGTGCTGTGGCCGACTGGGCTCTGCTGGGCAGTGTGTGTGTGTCATATGGAGCTGCTGCCATTGTCCATGGGTGTGTGTGGCCTCACCTGCGCCAAGCTGTTGGCACCAACAGCTACCTGGTCCTTAGGGTTGGGGATGATGATAGAGCCTCTCCCATGCACCCCACTTCATCTGTTATCTACTAGGTTTGGGGGAGGTGCTGAGGGGAGGGGCGCTTGGGTCTGAAGGCGGCTACCTCCCTAATGTTGGTCTCCTGGGTGACCAACAAGACACCTTGAGGATCCGGGTGTCTTTGAGAGTGCTCTGAGCACTGTTAGGGCCTGGGGAAGTAGGGTCTGGGCTGGGCGTGAGCTTTCCAGAAGCCTGTGGAGTCTGTGGCTTTTTACTGTGCTGTGGGCAGGTTGGGGAGGCCCTGCCTAAGTAGGGAGTTGCTGTAGGGCTATGGGGCAGGCTCAGTGTGCCCTCAGGGTGTCATCTTGACTGTTGTGAGTGGTAAATGGTTTTGCCTCTGTTTCCCTGGAAGCAAACTGTGAGACAAGGATTTGGGTGCCAAGAGTTTATTGAGGTGATGCGTCCAGGACTCACTGTCTGTGGGGGTGGGGGTGTCCCAAGATGCACTGTAGGGGTGTGGAGGTTGGGGGAGGAGGCTGACAAAGGGGCATGGGTGCTTAGCCTCGCTGGCATCCTCTGACAAACATAACACACCTTCCAGCTGTCTTGACCGGAAGAACCAACAACTTGTGCCACAGTGGCTGACTTCTGGCCTGACCCTTTGAGGCCAGAGAAAGTACAGTGGTGTGACCCTTTCCTTAAAGTGATGAGCCCACAGCCCATAGGCTGTGCAGTAACTGTGACCCCAGATGTGAACTGTGACTCCTGGTGGGAGCTGTGACCATTGGTGGGGGTTTTGACCCTGCCTGGTGTGCTGCCCTTTGCTGTGGTGGTAGGGGGCCAGATGCTTGGGGCCTGGCTGCAAGGATGGGTGGGGACGGGGGCCTTTTCATGAGTTGGTGCAGGGGCCCAACCTCTCCTCACTCTTCAAACCTGTACAAGGGAAAAGTCGAGACTCTGCAGGGGAAGCCCTTCCCTCAGTGAGAAGCCAGCTGCTGCAGGAGGGGCTGCCTATCAGACTCCTTTTCTAGGACTCAACAGTGGGGTGTATATCCAGGCCTGGGGCTTCCTGGCTTCTGGTCTGCCCTTGTCCTAGGGAATGAATGTCCCCCCTGAAGCTGAGGGCCCATCTGCAATGTCAGAATGTCTTCCCAACCACCAGTGCAGGCTCTGGGTGAGGGGCTGGGGGACAGGGGACAAGCAGATCCAAGGGACCCTCCATGTCTGGACTCTACCTGTGGACCATGTATGGCTTGGGGCCATGATCCTCCCACTCACTCTTGCTGTCCACAGACCCCTATCCACCCAGCTCTCTTTGGGTTCCACTTGACCCCTGTGCTTGGGATGGCCCCAACTCAGGGAGCTCGTGGCCCACGGTGGTAGGAGGACCATCTTAGCCCTGGGGTGCCGTCAGGGCATGTTGGGCGACCCCAGGGCTGGGCAGAGTGGACAAGGAGGCCCTGGGCTGGTGTGTGGGGGTAGGGCTGGGATTCTCCAGGGAGGTGAGGAAACAGGTGGAGAGAGGCCAAGTTGGTGCCATGAGCAAGGGCATGGGGCCTTCTTTGTGGTGTCCTGGGGGCCAGCTCAGGCTGTGCTCAGGAAGGTGCCCAATTGTTGTTCCCACGGCGCCAGCATTCTCTGTCCTTGGGGTTCCGGTGGCTGTGCCATGGGTGCTATCACCCAGGACCCAGCAAGAGTTGAAACCAAGGAAGCTCACTCTGCTTGGGGCAGCATGGATATGACCCCCTCTTGGCTTCGAGGACAGGGCTGTGATGGTCAGTTGCCTGCTCCCTCCTGCTGGCATTGCAGGGGTGACCAGGAACTTCCTAGACCCCTCAGGCCAGGATCTGGGCCTGGGGTGTCCTGGAGCTGGGTCAGCCCTGGGGACAAGGCTTTCCCAAAACTTGTGGTGCCAGCAGGAGTCTCAGCCAGAGCAAGTGGCCCAGTGATTGCCAGCAAAGCCACGGCGCTGGGGCAGTGGCAAAGGGTGGACAGGTGTATGGGGCATGTGACTTCTTAGGGCTCCCCAGTGCCACAAACAGCAGAAACATGTTATCTTGTGATTCTGGAGGCCAGGAGTCATCAACCAAGGATCCAGCAGGGCTGGTGTCTTCTGAGGCTGTGAGGTTTCTCTCCAGCTGGCAACCTTCGGTGCTCCTTGGCTTACAGAGCCAGATTCCTACCTTCGTGCTCTCATGGCCCTCTCCCTGGGCAGGTGTCCACCTGTGAATTTCCCACCTTGATGGAGAAGGACCTCAACGTCACTAGTCCCCCTGCAATGACCCTGTCTTGGAGATGCGGGGGGTTAGGACTTCAGCTATGAATTTCCAGGGCAACAGGTCACCCTAGGCACCTGTTGGTGGGGGTGCAGATGTCCTGGAGCCTGTGGCCTGCCCAGGAAGGCAGCCCTAGCCCACACCTGCTGGGGAAGACCAGTCTTAGGGACAGACACACACTCTCTTCAAGCATGGAGTGGAGATGTGAGGGTTGTGGTCTCTGGGTGGCCCTAGAGCCCTTCCTGACTAGGATTGGCCCCCATGCTTCCTGGTTAAGGGAACTCAGGAACAGATTTGTCTCTGGCCTGGTGGGGCTGCAGGGAGCCCAGACCTTTCAGGTTTAGGTAGTGCTCTGTGGCAGAGGGTTTTTTGCCACACATCTGTCAGGGACTGGGAAATGCTGTGGACTAGGATGGAAGGTGGCAGGCGGGTTTGCTGCCACAGGCCCCATGGGGTGGAGACTCCTGGGACACACTGTGGCGATGGCGTCATCACTCATTCCCAGATTTCTGAGGAATGACATTCCAGGAGCCTGCAGCCTGCTCAGGGTGACCAGGATTGGGCCAAAACTTGGGAAGAGGGGAGGGGCTAGTCCACAGGACAGTCCCCAAGAGCTCTATTCATAGGAGCAAACCTAGGAGGACCCTGACTATCCAGTGACAGGAGAATGAACAAGTTGTGGTGGCCCTGCAATGGAACACCCACACAGCAGGACCACCAGCAGGACAGGAGTGTGGCAGGGAGCCTGGCCTTCTGGGGGCTTCTAGGGCTTGTATAAGCAGAGCAGGAGCATAGATGACTGGGCTGGGAGTGGGGGACCCCGAGGTAGGGGTGGGACCCAGTGTCTGCAGGGAGGATCTACCATGGGCCACCTTCAGGGGAGCTGGGGCACCTGGTCAAAGGATAGCACAGAGCCCTGCAGGCTGGGGGCTGCAGAGCCCTTGGGGATCTGTGGGCAGCCAGGTCCAGCACAGAGAGGGGCAGCAGGGCCTTGTCTGCCTGGAAGTGGGGCCTGGCTAGTTGGAGCCAGAGGCCCTTGAGGACCACTTTCCCACCCCTGGGATGTGGACTCCAACCAGCCAGAGTCCCATTCCATGCTGTGTTAACCGCCACAACTGTGTTCCCTCCCTGCAGCCATCATTAACCCCAAACAGCCCAAGGAGACACCCAAAAGCTTCAGCTTTGACTACTCCTACTGGTCACACACCTCGGTAAGGCCGGGTTGGGTCAGGGAGGGAAGGCTATGTGAAGGCTATGTGGGAGTGACCTTGGGAGTGACCTCTCTGAGTGCGTGTCCCCCTCTAAATGGAGTGAGGAGCCCACCTGGCTCCCCTGGAAGGACACACACTGCCCCCAGCTGAGGCAGTGGCCAGGGCTGTAGGGACTGAGGGGCCTCAGCTCATAGGGCAGTTCCCCAGGTTTGGTATGTGCAGCCCTTTTCCCAGACACTGTAAACTCAGAAAGCCCCAAACTGACCAGACCTCCCTGGCACTGGGGCCCTGCACGCTGGGAGCTTGGGAGACCTCTGGGCTCTTCTCCCTCCCTCCCTCCCTCCC